CACATTGAGTCTTTAATTTACCAAGCAATATGGGTAGGATTAAAGCCATGGCTTTGACGGCTGGATCCAGCCCATTTCTTAGCTTCCTGAGATTCCAGCCTCATGGGGAAGGTACCTGCCAGAGCCAGGTTTATTGCCATAACTCTATGGCATTTCAAGGTCCTTGCCAGCAAGCAAGCTGCAGCATTCTGCTCACAGACCACACTCAGTTGGACCGCCTGCCTGGAAGGGTCAGAGTTTGCCCTGGCAGGATGGCCCAGAAAACTGGCAGCTTTTTTCCTGCTACGGCTGAAAACTGAAAAGCACGCAGTCAGCTTTTCATCAACACCATTTAAGTGTTTATTCTCTGCGTGTTCAATGTAATTTTGGGGCAAATTATAATTAGGTCAATGTGACTGATGATGTGGTTGAAATGCTTTCTATTACTACTGATTGTTTTGAAGCTCAAGGACAATTTTATTAGTGTCTAAAGGAAAACTCTCCAGGGCAGGCAGACTGTAAATCTTGGCAGCTGCTGGTTGAAAGAGAATGGAAAAGAGAAAGGAAAAAAGCTACACTGTTTAAACTGGCCATGGAGTTTAGACAGTAAGTCACCACAGGTGAGGAGCAGAGTGCTGGAGAGTGAGGAAGCCCAGAAAGCTAAGTGTTAGGGAAAGCATGCACACAGAAAAGAGAAAAAAGTTATACTCATTCTAAGTAATTTAGAGAAGTGCTTGAGCCTGGAAAGAGACATGAGAGAAAGGAGAAAGCAGGAGTTTTTCATTACAAACCCTAGGCAGAGACTCAGCAAAACCCAAAACTGGTATTTTGAAAATGTCCAAACCAAAGTTCATTAGCCCAGTAGACTAATGAGAGCACCCATCGACTGGCTTTTCTTTTGACATCCAAGGCTGGACTCAAGAGTGGTGACCCTAGATACTTTCAGGGTCTTGGATAGTTTTTGGAGGGCCTAAAATCACAGTGTGAGGTCCCTCTTAGGTGACTTTGAGAGAGAGCGAGCGAGAGAGAAAAAAAATAAAGCCATCATTAATTTCTTAGGTTAAGCCATGGTGAGCATGTCTCTCCAGAGTGGTGCTGTAGAATTGAGCCAACATCTGATGTCTTTTATCTGGGTAGCATTTTCCTCATCATGAAGAAAATCATTAAATGAAGTTAATGTTGGCACGAAGAAGAAGAAGGAGGAGAAGGAGGAGGAGAAGGAGGAGGAGGAGGAGGAGGAGGAGGAGGAGGAGAAGAAGAAGAAGAAGAAGAAGAAGAAGAAGAAGAAGAAGAAGAAGAAGAAGAAAATCACTGGTCCAGGCGTGGTGGCGCATGCCTTTAGTCGACTCAGGGGTCTACAAAGCAGGGGTCTGGACAGCCAAGGCTGTTAGTTGGAGAAACCCTGTTTCAGAAAACCACAAAAAGAAAAGAAAAGAAAGATCATTAGTAAGAAATAGTTTTCTAAAATTACTACTGATTTTTTTTTGCCTAGTATTTTTACCAGTTACTGAAGAACATTAGCTAAATGATGCTTAGAACTATTGCAACTTCCAATAAATAGGACAGATAATCAGGGTTTGAAAGTTGATAACAGCAAATTAAAACCAGAGTAAACAGAAAAGTGCTTAGAATAAAAAGAATCCCAAATCAAAATGTAGTAATAGTAAGGAATTTAGCAAAAACTCATGGTTATGTATTTGTTGGTTTTGCTTTAATTCAGTAAGTTTCATTTTTAGTGTTCTGAAATTTTGAATTGGATACACGTATTCACTTGTAGTTGTTAGATAGGCTCAGAGTTGTGACTAATATCATGAAAGATATCTTTGATTGGGTCTATTTTATGTTAATCTGACCGTTTGTGACAGGCTTAGTAATGGCTCCCAGTACCTTATAAGGCAAAAGATGCTCTGTAGTTGTGATTGACTTATGTATATAGAAAACATACACACATATACATCACACACACACACACACACACACACACGTCATCACTATACCCTCAGGCTGATTGGGACTTTGTGATTCTCTGACCTCAGTTTCACAAGTGCTGGGTTTATAGCCATGATTTATGTGTGATTATGCTGCATCGCCCTTGTGCTCCCAATGTACTCACGGGGGAGCGAGTGAGTCAGAAAAAGGAGATGCTACAGAGGGAGTAGAAGTAGAAATGATACTTGGAAGGTGGTAGACTAACCGAAAGTCCAGGAAAGCAGGCAGCCTTGAGGCACTAGAGCAGTGAAGGAAGCTGCTTGTTCCCACAGGAGAACAGTCTGCAAGCTCAGTGACTGTAGACGTCTGACCCCTGGAACATCAAGAAAATACATTTATGTCACTGTGGCTCTTAAGTGTGTCATAGGTGGCTTGTTACAGCGACGATAGGAAACTAATACTTTGTTTCAGGCTTCTTTTGTTTACCATTCATTGACTTGTATATTTCCTTTTCTTTTTTTCCTTTTTCTTTTGCTTGTATGTGTGAGTCTGTGTAGTGTGTGTGTGTGTGTGTGTGTGTGTGTGTGTGCAAGGGAGCATGCACATGGAGGCCAGAGGAGGATGCTGAGTGTCCCACCGTGTCACTCTCTCCTTTATCCTTTGGAAAGGCTCTCTCTGAATCTGGAGCTTGGCTGGCAACCAGCAAGCTCCAGCAATTCTCTTGTCTTGACAACCCAGTACTGGGGCTGCAGGGGCATGCCACTTTTGCACAAAATTTTACACGAATGCTTAGGATTTGAACTCATGTCCTCATGCATGTGTAGTGACGAGTGCTCTTACCATTGAGCAACCTCCCCAGTCCTGTATAGTAAATTTGTTATAATCTATTTTTTCACCTGGTGACATTCATCATACATTACCTACCCCCATGCATATGTGTATGTGTGTGTGTGAGTGTGTGTGTGTGTGTGTGTGTGTGTGTGTGTGAATGTAGAGGCCAGAGATTGATGTTGGGTGTCTTCTGAAATTGGTCAACTAATAATAATACTGTAGCTCAACAATTTGGCTAGGCTGGTTGGCTAGCGAGCTCTGGGGATCTTCCTGTCTCTGTTGTCCCAGCGCAGGATTGCAGATGCATGCCACCATGACTGGTTTTTATGTGGGTGCCGGGGATCTGAACTCAGGTCCTTATGCTTGCATGCAAGCACTTTACGACCTAAGCTAACTCCCAAACTTTGGTATTATCCTACAAGTTCTTTATGTTCATTGATCTTCCTTCTGAATGTTCCAATTTGCTATTGACCATATTCAATTAAAGATTATGAATAATATTCCAGAACTTTTGTTTGATTCTTTTTTGTAGTTTCCAATTCTTTGATGAGATTCTAAGCTTTTTATTCACTTTGACCCCCCCTTCTAAAGTGTTTCAACATATTTTTGTAATTATTACAGCTCTTGTTCATGGATTCCCATCAATTTTATTATCTCTACTTAATGCGTTTTCCTCAGACTGTGGTTTAAAAGCGTTATGTCTGAGTGTCAACTTGACAAGGGGTGGACTTGTGATGGTTAATATTGGTTGACAACTTGATAGGATCTAGAACAGCGGTTCTTAACTTGTGGGTCGTGACACCACAGGGTTCACACATCAGCTATCCTGCAATCAGACATTGACATTACATCTCATAATAGTAGCAAAACTGCAGTTATGAAATAGCAATGGGGTCACCTCAGCACGAGGGACCAGATGAAAGGGTCACAGTGTTTGGAAGGTTGGGGACCACTGCTGTACAGTTACCTAGGAGACTAACCTCCTGGAATGTCTGTGAGGGAGTTACTAAGGTGGGAGGATCCACCCAAAATGTGGGCAGCACCAGCGACAAAACGTGGTCCTAGACTCAAAAAGAAAGACTTGAGCAGTGAATCAGCGTCCACCGCTCTGTGCCCCACCTTGCAGATTCAGTGAGCCCAGCCGTTTCCACCATGAGGGACTGCATTCCCTCATCTGTGAGCCAAAATGGGCTCTCCTCCATCAGCACCCTTCAGCTGTTAGGTATTTGGTCATAGCAATAAGAAAACCAGCTAATACACCCAAGTCACATCACAACTCACTGTGTGGCAGGACTGGCCTTGAACTCCTAACAGTCCCTCAATGAAAGAAGCTGGCGGGAACTCAAACAGGACAGAGCCCTGGAGGCAGCAGCTGATGCAGAGAAGTGCTGCTTCCTCTGCCTTGCTCAGCCTGTGTTCTTGCACACCCCAGGACCCCCATTCTGGGGAAGGCACCACTCACAATGGGCTGGACCCTCCCTTCTCATCACTAATTAAGAAAATGCCTATGGAGTCATCTACAGGCCAATCTTATGGAGGCATTTTCTCAGCTGAGAATCCCCTTTCCCATATGACTCTGACCTACGTCAAGTTGACAATAAACTAGCCAGAACAATGATCTTATCTGTTTTTCAATTTTCATGTTTTCTTGTGTGAGTTTTTATTAGTTTTTAATACTTTTATTTTCTCCTACTAGAAAGCCGTTGCTGATAGTTCATTGGCTTTTGTTTCTCTTTGTAATTGTCTTTGCACGGAAGGCTAAAGCAAGGTGTATTTGCCACTGTGAGGAATAAAGGTGCGCACACACCTGGAAGAATGTTCTGTGCTTAGATAGTGTGCCGCACTCCGAAAATACATGGAAGTCTGTTTCTTCCACCCAGCCAGCAGCCCATCATCACACAAACGTTCATCATGACTCAGCAGGCCCACGGGATGATGAAATCAGTTCTAGTTGGTGTCAGTCTCTTCAGAAGGGAAGGGGACTCTGATGAGGGCTGGGAACTCCTCACTTTCAGTGCCGAATCCGTACAGAAGCGCGAGCCCCGCTGTCCCAGCAGAGCAAGACGAGACTGGGAGTCGGGGTGTGTCCACTGGGCATCTAAGGAGTATGCCGCAGCCACCTTTAAAGGACTATTTGAATATTAAGCTCTGTAGCAGCCCTGGAACTTGAATCATTTCCTGAATAAATTGCTTCTGTTTCTGTCAAGTTTCCTGCCGCTGTTTTACAGGATGGGCCATTTCCTCACCGGCGCTTTCTCTCACCCTGCTCTCATTCAGCACCCTCAACTGAGTGTGAAAGGCAGTCGGTGAGATGACTGACAGCGATATTTACTGCACGTTAGAGCTGCCTGCTGCACCTCAAGTCCCAGATGGCTCCAGATCGAAGCTCAAGGGTGAGTGAGCCACTTTGGCCCCGAAGATTGGGCCGCGGGTGAGTGGAGAGGAGGACAACCGGGAGGACAGAGCGCAACAAATCGAGGATTTGAAGAAACACGTTCGGGTTCAGTTTATAGTGTTGGTGTGGAATATGGACCTTTGGCGTGGAGTGTAGCTGTGACCTTGGTCTCAGAAAATTCTTTTCTAAACTGGGCAGTGGAGGTGCAAGCCTTTAATCTCAGCACTCGGGAGGCAGAGGCAGGCGGATCTCTGTGAGTTTGAGGCCAGCCTGGCCTGTAAGAGCTAGTTCCAGGACAGGCACCAAAGTTATGGAGAAACCTTGTTTCGAGAAGAAAAAAAAAAAAGGAAAAAAGAAAAGAAAATTCTTTTCTAGATACTCCTGCCATTCCAGCTAATGCCAACCAATGGCAATGCCATCTTTTTTTTTTGTTGTTGTTAATTTTTTTTCTTTATTCCTAAGAATTTTATACATGTAGACAAGCATGCTATTTTTTATTGATCCTATTTGAAAGTAAGAAAGTCTGCAGTCAGGCGTGGAGCAGTTTACTGTAACTATTGAAATCCTGCCATCTCTTCTTCTCTATCCACGGCGTGATGAAAACAACAGCTTTATTGAGGGTACCAGTAAGGTTTCTTGAGACAAGAAATGGATCCACGAATATAGATTTGTTTCCTGTCGCCCACCCCCCCTTCTCATATTGCATCTGAATGGTGATAGCATAAAAGGTGCTGAAGCCTACTGACCACTGGCCCTGGGACCTGGAGGGCCAGGGAACACCAACAGCAACGCCCACAAAAGCCATTTTCTATGCATATTCACATCTGAGACAGGGAACAACGGAAATGCCAAAATGAATGCTTGATTTTACATCTCAAGCAGGTGACTCCAGAAGATATGTTCTCTTTTGTAGTTTTGCAGACTTTCTCTGTTTGTTATATAAGTTTCTCATCATGGTCTCCTTTTTTTTGTTACAGTTTTTAATGCTGCCATTTGAAAGCATTGCCATATTTTCTAAATCATGGGCATTTCTATTTCTATACACTGTATAGAACTACACATTTTCATATGTGTGATTTTTTTCCTTTATTATATCTGTTCTAATTTGTAAGGATTAGAAATATTAAGTCAAAAGAAATGTATATTTAAAGTGTAGATCTTAATATATTGAATGTTATTATGTTAACATATATTATATGTTAAGTAAAGAACCTAATAATAATTAAAACTAATACATACATAAATAAATTAAAATTTCTGTTTTACTTGTTTTCTTAAATTGGATGGTGACTACTCAAATAATTATAATTGGATACCTTTTTTCATTTAGCAAACAACTACAAATGAGAGGTTTTTATTTCATTAATAAGTTGTCTATGCAGATGGACTTGGTAGTGCACACCTTTAATCCCAGCATCAGAAGGCAGAGGCAAACAGATCTCTGGGAGTTCAAGGCCAGCCAGTTCCGAGTTCCGGTTCAGCCAGGACTAAACAGCTAATTCCTTTCTCAGGGGGTGAGGAAACCATAATTTTTTTAAAAAAGGCATCTATGCCACAAATCTGGTGTATTTGTTATTTACTTTATCTTTATTTATTATTTGAGACAGGGTCTCTCTAGGTAACCCTGGCTGTCCTAGAACCCACTATGTAAATCTACTTTACATAGATCAGGCTGGCCTTGAACTCACAGAGATCCACCTGCTCTTGCCTCCTGAGTGCTGGGATTAAAGGTGAAATCTGTTTGTTTGTTGTAGTTTGTTTCATATAATGATAGTTATTTGGGATTCATGAGTCAAAATATTTATCATGCTGATCTCTTTTTTTAATTGATTCTATTGAGCTATACATTTTCTCTGCTCCCCTTCCTTCCTCTCCCCTCCCCTTCAGCCCTCTTCCATGGTCCCCATGCTCACAATTTACTCAGGAGACCTTGTCTTTTTTTACTTCCCATGTAGATTAGATCTATGTATGTCTCTCTTAAGGTCCTCTTTATGGTCTAGGTTCTCTGCATTGTGATTTGTAGGCTGGCTTTCTTTGCTTTGTGTTTAAAAACCACTTAAGTGAGTGCATGTGATATTTGTCTTTCTGAGTCTGGGTTACCTCACTCAATATGATGTTTTCTAGATCCATTCATGTGCTTGCACATTTCAAGATGTCATTATTTTTTTCTGCTGTGTAGTACTTCATTGTGTAAATGTATAACATTTTCCTTATCTATTATTAGGTCAAGGAGCATTTAAGTTGTTTCGAGGTTCTGGCTATGACAAACAAAGCTGCTATGAACATAGTTGAGCACATGTCCTTGTGGTACGATTGAGCATCCTTTGGATATGTACCCAAAAGTGGTATTATTGGGTCTTGAGGAAGGTTTTTTCCTAATTTTCTGAGAAATTGCCACACTGATATCCAAAGGGGTTGTACCAGCTTGCACTCCCACTAGCAATGCAGGAGTGTTCCCTTTTCATTTTGAACTCTTATGATGCTTCTCTCATTATGAAATTTAAGAAATTGAGACTTTTCATGGATAGCAATGTATAAGAATAGTGTATCTAAAATTTGAATAGATATATGAGACTAAATTAGGAAATTAAATTATCTTTCTTTTTCTTTCATTCTAAGAAAGAGTCTCATGTAGCCCCAGCTGGCCCCAAATTTGCTGTGTAGCAAGGAAGACCTTGAACTACTGATTCTTCTGCCTCTAGATGCAGGATTCCCAGAGGATCTATGCCACATGGTTATTATGACACAGTGGTCCATCTTCAAACAGAAGGCCAACCTATACTTATTATACTTTCAATATTTACATGTAAAACAAGGTGGATTTTATCATCTACTTCTGAGATGAAGGCTATTTTGTTTCAGTTTAAATTTTATTTATTTAAAATTTGAAGGATACAAAAGAAAACAAGCGAAAGCATCTCGCTTCTGTTTCTTCTCTTAACTACCCTCTTTAAAAGGGAAACACTATGGAATGCCTTCAGGGATTTCCAGGTTTGACCTTAGCCAAAAGGCAGAGAAGTGATCTTGAATAGACTTCAGCTATAGCAATTGTCCCCTGTTCTGAGGAATATGTCTTTCTTTTAGCTATATATCGAAAAATCACTTTGTATTTGTTTTTTTTTTTTTTAAAGAAATTCCTCTTCAGAAGCTATGTGTTTCGTGGATATAATTATATTTGACTGGTCTTTTCTGATAAAAATCTATATTTTTAGTTGATAGATTTAGACATTTGGCCTTTTCTTCCTATAGATGTTACTGTCTTCTGAGTATGATATTTTACACATGTGTGCGTATTTGTAGAAAAATGTTTCTTGAGGAGAAATTGCTGGGCCAAAAGGCAAATACTTTGCAATTCTTGTAAATAATGGCAAATTGTCCTTCAGTTCCCCAAAGGCAGAGTCTGTTTACACACTAGCTCACAGGTGTCACACACTTGGGTGTGCGAGCATATAAGCCACAATGGCAAAGGCAAGAGTTTCCTTTAACCTGAGAGCGCTAGACCCAGTCAGGAAAGGAACCTGTGTGGCCTGGGTCTCTGTCTGTCCGGGCAGAACTGCTTTAATATACCAGAGGTTCTTGCCTGAGCCTCTGTGTCTGACTCAGGATCTTGCTTTGGATTGTGTCTCTGCAGCTGTCTTACAGAGGCCCCGTCTTTCCTGCCTCGTGATGGTGGCTTTGGGGCTTTTGACTGTGATCCTCCTGAGTTTAGTGATGTACCAACGGATCCTGTACTGTGGTAAGTACCAACGTCACCTCAGATTAGCCTTTCATTTTGTATGATAAATCAAGATGACAGTTGATGACAGGGTTTTACAGACTTTACTAGAGAATTCTAAAGCTTCAGCACTGCTCTCCACATTGTATTTGAGCCCTAACTTTCCATAGAGAAAATACCAGGAACTTGGGACTTTTTGATCCGGGCTGATTGTGCCACAGTTGTCTGGAAAAGGTGCAAGTCCCCAAAATGCAGACCCCAACCCTGGTGTCATGTGCAGCCTTCCTTCCCCATTTTCTGGTTCCTGACCTATAGTATGTAGTCTACATAGTTCTTTGTATTCATGTGCTCCTGTGGTCCTACGGTAGAATGGCTTATGGCAATTTTATGCACATGTGTCTCATGGAAGGAGAAAACCAGTAGACTGAAGTCTCCTGAGATATTTTCACAGCGCCCTCTCGTTCCAAGTGTTTTAAAGGAATGAGGAGTGCATCTTCTAGAAAAACTCAGCAAGGAGAATCCTAGCACTTTTCACTTTAGCATCTGATGTGCTTTTCTGCCAGAAAAAAAAGTATACTCAAGTAAGTCAGTTTTATTGAGTATAACAATTTTTTTCTAATTTCTGTTGGCTCCAGATGACCATATCGGTTGGTTTTTTTCTAGTTTGTTTCCTTTTCCAGTGCACATTATGGCATGCTGTCTTGGGGCTGGACATCTGGAAGGGTTCTTCTGTCCATGTAGCTATACACTGGGGATGTGAACGCAGTGCATAGACGTGTGCTGTGCAGATGCAGGCATCCTTTACGCAGTGTGCACACATCATAAGGATACGGACGGTTTCCAGTGTCGTGGGCCCTCCACAGACCTCAGGCAGATCAGACCTTCCATCAGAATCCAAGTTTGTTTCATGGTGTGCACATCCGAAGTGGTGAGCTGGGCATTGTGGACTGTTCAGTTTGAGGCCATGTGTGTTGCAGATTTCTCTAAACCGTAGTGTGAAAAGGGGTAGGGCAAGGTTTCCCTTGACACTGGAGTTGCCATGTTTTCTTATAGCTCCCTTTTATTTTCCAGGACCATTTGGTCCAACAATGATGTGAGCTGTGTCCTCTTCCTTCTAGGCCACAAGAACTGCCCCAGCTGCCCCAGCTGCCCCAGCTGCCCTGACCTCTGGGTGAGGAATGGTAGCCACTGTTACTATTTCTCAGTGGAGAAAAAGGATTGGAATTCTAGTCTGGAATTCTGTGTCAACAGAGGCTCACATCTCCTTACGTTTCTGGACGACCAGGAAGTGGTAAATAAAACCATGTAGAAAGTATAGAGCATTTCCCCTCCCTCTTCTTTCCTCTCCCCTCACCCATTCTTCCCCCTTTTTAGATGAGACTGTGCTGTGTAGTCCAGGCTGGCTTTGAACTTGTGGTCTTCCTGCTTCAGCCTCCTAACTCTTGTGTGCATGTTTAAACATTTATTTATGGGCATTTGTGTATGTGTGGTTTTTTATAAACAATTGTTTATTTTCTTGTGTGTATATTTGAACTATTTATTTATTTATTTATTTGTGTTTGTGTGCATGTATGATGTGCTTATATACGTGCATGTGTGTGCGTGTGTGTGTGTGTTAGAGGTAAGGGGGTGGCAAGCATTGCAGCAAAGAACTAGACCAAAAGCCCAGACTTAGTTAAAAGGCATTAGGTCCTGAAACACACAGCCCAACAAAGAAGCAATGATTTCTGTGGAGTCAGTGGAACTTAGGAGGGAAAGGGACTCAAAGACAAAAGGGCCACACATAGGGGCTAAATGTCCTTAGCTGAGTGTTTTCTTCTCACTCTTTGGAATTCAGTAAGTTCTAAATTGGAAACAATGTCCAGAAGGTTGAGTTAAGAGGCAGAGAAAACTGTGGGGGTCCTGTTTCCTAAGTTCTTTCTCCATGCCTCTGCTGGACCTAGGGGATGTTAGCAGTGTCAGGAGTTGGTATCTTGGCACAAATTTGGTCAAACTTGATTACAATTCACATAGAAGAAGAAAGTAAGAAATATTTGGTTTTTAGTGTTAATTTCTTGATTATTTTTTGTTTTGATTTGTTTTAATTTGGAGGGAATAAGATCAAACGTAGGGAATAGCTTATTAGTAATTGAGAGATAGGGGTTTTGTAGCCCAGGCTGGTTTCAAATTCATGATTTTCCAGACTCAGCTTTCTATTCAGATTAATCTGCTGGGATTAAAGAAGTCCACTACATACCTGGCTTGCTAATTGCTATTTTGAGAAAAGATGAGATATTTAGTTTATTTCCTCTCAAAAGAACACTTATATACTTGAAATTCTGGAAGGATCTAAATTCCAAACCATTCCTCAGAGATTTGCTTTTCCTTCATCTCTTCTCTAAGCCAGAATGGAAGAGATACCCCGGAATCTCTTCACTGCACAGGAGAAGAATAGTCTTGTTTGCGGGAACTTTTAGAGCAGCTAGTTTCATTTTGCTATCGCTGTTTTGAGGATCTTACTAAACAAGTGAGCAATTCGCTCGAAACGTTTGTCCCCCAGACTCCAGACACAGCATCAGTGAGTCACAACACATAGCGACAGAGAATTAGCTCCGGCAGCACCGTAAATTACACTGTGTGCTGAGGAGTTAGGGAAAGGGCTAACTTGCGGGTGTCTGGGAGTCCGCTCTAGCTGTCTTTCCATGCAGAGGAGGACCGGGTTCTTGAGGAATTTTGTCTTTCTTTCTTTATGTTCCCTGAATCCTGTACCCACAGTGGAGAACACTCAATAGTTACTCTGCTGCGTTTTCAAAATGAGACAGTTTTCTCTTAACCCCAGAGCCCTGGGTTCCAGTCAGCGGGGGAGGGTGGCAGGAGCCCCTGACGGATTTAATAACAGCTACTACTGATGGTACTTTCCACATTCTTGTGGACTCTTGCTTGATTCTCTTTCTTTCTTTCTTTCTTTCTTCCTTTCTTCCTTTCTTCACTTTTTTTTTGCCAAATTCTATAACAAAATGATCTGCATGGGTTGTCAGAGTGTAATAGGGAGAGTGCGGGCCCTTTTGTTCTGTCCTGCCCAGCTAGCTTATACCCGAAATAATAACACAGAAACTATATTTATTTTAACACTGCCTGGCCCATTAGCTCTAGCCTCTTATTGGCTAACACTCACATCTTGATTATCCCATTTTTATTAAATCTGTGTATCCCCACATGACTGTGGCTTACCAGCAAGATTCTAACCTACGACTGTCTCAGGCCAGAGATTCATGGTGTCTGCCTGTCTGTCCTTCTTCCCAGAATTCTGTTCTGTCTCCCTGCCTACCTAAGCTGCTGTCCTATTAAAAGGCCAAGGCAGTTTTCTTTAATAACCAATGAAAGCAACATAAATACAGAAGTACCTCCTACACCATTTCCCCCCTTTTTTTGTTTAAACAAAAAAGAAAGACTGTCACACTAACATAATAAAATTACATATAACAAAACAGTTATCAAGTAAGAATTACAGCCACACTATTTTATATCTATTTTATCTTTTATCATAACTAAAGAAAACTATAACTATTCATTTTTTAACTCCATCAAAGACTCCAGAAGGATATATTACCTAAGTAAACAAGAAGTAAGCAACTTCCAAATCCTAGAATTGACAGAGACATCTTGCTGCCTGGACAGTCATCCAAAATTCTTTTGTACCATTGGGGCATCCATCCTTAACCTACAGGCCCATAGTATCCAGAAGATATTTTTATGAAGCAGGAAAATTTAAAGACAGTTCAGTCACTTTCTTTTTGTATCCTTCAGAATGTTTCACAGACTCTTTTATAAAGCAGGAACCCCAAAGGGCCATCTCACCTTTAGCTAAGTTTAGCAGTCCTCTCTCTGTGTGTTCTTTATGTTTAGTTTATGTAACAGTTTAGGCAAGAGCAGTTTTTTTGCCCAAATAGCTAACCAACTCCATAAGGAGCCTCTTTGATGCCTATCTTCCTCTTGAAGTAGCTGGTGCTGCCAGGAACAGATCTGTCTCATTGTCATGAAAAGCCCTAAGTTATTAAAACAGTAAATGCCATATTCTGTAGTCTTTGAAAGATATGAAGAATTCTTATCTGAAATATATCTATGCACATCTAGAAAATCTAACTAACATGACTACAAACTTAACTATTATAGATGATTATCCATTAACAACCTATATTCCCTAATTATATATTACATTTTAAGTGCATTACACAATCACAATACCTTAATCGAGATCAGAAATATATATATATATTTAACAAAATTGACCTTAAATTTGTATCAATAAATCAAGATTTATACTATTGCAAATTATTCATATCTATATCATCAGAGTTCGTTGCTCCACTGTTGTTTTACTCCTTTGTTCTCAAGGCATGGCTTACTTACTATATTATAGCATAAGCAATATTCCCAGTTTCATACACGGGTCTGGAGAACACCAAAAGACCATATTTAAAAGCAAAAACCTGGGTCTGGTGGAACATGCCTGTAATTCCACCACTCACTAGGCTGAAGCAAGGAGAAGCATGTGCTTTGGGTCATCCTGGGCTATGGAGTGAGACTCTATATAGCTATACATATCTATGAAATCTATGAAAACCGAAAACTTTCAGGGCATCAAGATGATGCAGTGAGCTGGGCAGTGGTGGCACATGCGGGAGGCAGAGACAGGGGGATCTCTGTGAGTTCAAGGCTAGCCTGGTCTACGAAAGCTAGTTCCAGGACAGGATCCAAAGGTACAGAGAAACCCCGTCTCAAGAAACCAAAAAAAGAAAAAGCAATGTACAGCCAGCAAAAGCGTTTGCCACCAAACCTGGCGACCCGAGTCCGGAGTGCGATCCCTGGAACTCCTACGGTAGAGGGATGGAACTGACCCCCACCAATTGTCCTCTGACCTCCACACATGCGTGCTGTGGCTTGTCCACTTCCTCTAACATAAATAAGTAAGTGAATGCAATAAAAATTTAAACGTTTTAAACTGGCATTCCCATGGTGTAAAGTGCATCCTCAGGCTATATGGTTATTCTTTTTAAAAAATTTGGTTGACTTCTTTTCTTTTCTTTTCTTTTCTTTTCTTTTCTTTTCTTTTCGGCTATGTCCTGAGCCTGGTGACAATTATTTTCAAATCAGGTGACCAATGTGGTTCCTCGCCCCAATGTCCTTTCGGGTTTATTTATGGACCCCCTTAAAGTGGCAAATTCCATTGTTTTTAGACCTCAGGAAAGCTTACTGTTTTTCAAGTTAATACTTAGATGCATTGGTTTAAGTGCTTCTCATGTTTTTCATTTCAAATGAAGAAAAACTTCTTTCCTTAGGGTTTTGAAAACCAGAGGCCTTCTGTTTAAAGATGCACATCCTGTGTGTCTAGGGTGTGTTGACACCTTGCGCTTTACACTGCGCACACAACACGATTTCATTTCTTTTCTTCCATCTAGTGCTAACTTGCTGTAGGTAACTGTTAAACAGTTGTGAACACAATAAAATTGTGAAATTATTTTTAGAGATTATCTAAGATGATGATTTATTCTAATATTGATTAAGTCTTTTCAAATTCTTAAGATAAAATTCTACCTATGTTTAATTATTATGAGTCATGATATATTCACACAAATTATTTTTTGGGGAGGTATCTTGGTTACGTTTTAGTCATTAAAACTGCTGATTCATCAAAACATCGGACTATTTAATAGTTCTGTTGTGTGACTGGCTTTCCTCAATATGTATTAAAATAGCTCAGGTGCATTCCATGAACCATATTAATTTGGAAACTTAAGGGGTGTACTTTTGTGCCTTAATGGTAGTTTCATTTTAATTAAAAATATTATCTATAAATTGTATATATATATACATATATATATACATATATGTTTACCTATAGTATAGAATAGATTGTATATGCAATATATATGGGTGTTTTGGTTTTTTTTTTTTTTTGTTTGGTTTTGAGATAGAGTTTTTCTATGTAGCCCTGGCTGTCCTGGAGCTCGGGCTGTAGACCAGGCTGGCCTCAAACTCTCAGAGATCCACCTACCTCTGCCTCCTGAGTGCTGGGATTAAAGGTGTGTGCCACCATGCCTGGTTTAGAGTTTAAACAGTAACCTTAGAAAAAGATAAAAAGGAAAGAAAAGTATGTATTTGGTTTAATTTTTTAATTAAAATTTAAAAGTAGCAAATATCTTTGTTACTTTTAGTTTTTGCATTTTCCCCTTTCTGGAGTACAAGCAAACATTGATCTTTCCAGAAGTGACACAAGAGCCAAGTGTTCCGTTTCACACTCTCTTTGTGGGATAAGAGTCCTGAGTTACACCCTTGGGTATATTTTCATGCTGTTTCTTCAGTTAGACATGTGTACGTGTGCCCACATATCCCAATCAATCAATCAGAGGACAGAAAGATAATTTCATCTGTGTTTGAAGGCGTTTTCCACATGGGATGTCCTTCAACTATAAGTGATACAGTGAAAATTTGGAATATCTGGGTTCATGCTGAGTAGAAAGGGCTGGTCAAGTAGCTTAGCATTGTTTGCATCTTGAGCACAACAAGCCAGCGCAAGCAGGGAGTTCATGAAAGTGCTCCTTACCACTCTGACCTAGGTCTTCCCCCTTCTCTGCCTTATTAGCTCTGGTTCCTCCTTTGGAGATGCTGAGAAAATGCAATGAATATTTTTCTTCTCTCTTGTGGTGAGAGGGGCTGATCCAGAGCCTTGCATACACTAGATAATCGCTTTACCATGGAACCCCAGCCCCAGCTTTCTTAGTAAGCCAGGGGAGAAAGCAGACAACACACCTTTCTCTTTTTCATTTAAGCGGGCTTTTTAGCAAGTGGGCTTAGAAAGGCATGAAGTCCCAAGCCACCCTGAGCACTGGAATGCCAGTCTCTCTCTCTCTCTCTCTCTCTCTCTCTCTCTCTCTCTCTCTCTCTCTCCTTTGTTCTTCCTTGCTACTCCAGCATGCACACTTAGGACTCAGACAAAGCAGAAGGGGTGGAGATTTCTGTTTAGGAGACTTTTGCCTCTGTAGCATGAGGGCTGACTCCACAGTCTGCCTCCCCAAAAATACTGCACAGAGTTTCCTGTATTTCCTCGAGGTGTTGGGAAGATTGTAAGTAAGCACTTTTGCCATTCCAGTGATTATATTTTAGTCAGAAGAGATGAAGTCATGAACAAAAGTGCTAATTCAAGCCGGGCAGTGGTGGTGCACGCCTTTAATCCCAGCACTCGGGAGGCAGAGGCAGACGGATCTCTGTGAGTTTGAGACCAGCCTGGTCTAGAGAGCTAGTTCCAGGACAGGCATCAAAGCTACAGAGAAACCCTGTCTCGAAAAACAAAACAAAACAACAACAACAAAAAAGTGCTAATTCATGCTTTGGAGACAACGTGCACCTTGAGGTGCACTGTGGGTGGCTGTGGGTGCTGTTTTACGTGGACCCCTCAGAGCTGGACTGGGGCTGGCACAATGACAGCCGGATGACAATCTAGGGCAAGGGTGTTGTTACAGGGAGAAGGAAAAGCTGTGCAGACCTAATGCAAGATGTTCTTGGTCTGTTACAAAAAACAAAAAGCAAAAACAAAAGGAAGGTTGATGGGCTTGAAGCTGGTGACTGAGTGGTTGGCAGGGCCCAGATGGTGCCAGCTTTTGTATGTATAGTAAAGGTCTTAGGGTTTTATAGCCTGAACCTCAGTGAAGAGAAAACAGAGGTGATTCTGCCTTAAAAGTCCAGAAGGGTTCCAGCTGAGTGCCGACCCTGGGCATGCAGAGAGTTTGTTTTTCACTTTACTTTGAGTAGAACCCTTTCTTCTTGCTGGTGAGACTGCCGTCCGGCAACAGAACACCATCCACAGCAGAGCCCATACACTCCTTCTCTTCGGCCCCCGTCTTCCAGGAATGAAACACAATTGACGGCCAAGTGGGACATCAGTAGTATCACGGCAACAGTAGAGCTGGAATTTCACTGGGTTTTCTTGATTCCTAATAAAAGACTTTCCTCCAAAAGAAGCTGTTCAACAAACGCTAATCTAAAACGCCATAGAGGTCGTGCAAGTCATTCAGCCCAAATTCAATTAATTAAGCTGTCCCTGGAAAATACTGGAAATTCATTATGTGAATGCTCAACCTTACGACAAGATTAATCTTCTCGGATTCAGTCCTTGTTCTGTTGAATGTACTGGGCAGTTCCCTCAGGGCACAAACATCTTCTTTTGACTGTACCACTGTCTGGAGCGGAGCACCGTTTATCTTGGCCCGGGGGTAGCACACACGCGGGTGTACTTAGTTTAACTCTGCCATCAGGCCCATTGCCTTACCGCACTCCCACCCCCTTGTTAAAGACAAGATTAAGGATTTGTAAAACGAGAGTGTAACCAAAGGCGGTGCACTGGGTGAGTAAGATGAGCGCCTCTGTAGCTGGCTTGCGCTTTCTGTTGAATACCTATCAGACTCCATCTAATCAGAAAGGAAGTAGCCATGGAAGGTGGAGCAGCGACCATAGCTTATCGGTTATCTCTAAGAATGTGCTTATAAACCAAAAGTCAGTGTGTGTGTGGGGGGGGGAGGGAGTGGCTCCTTGCAATAGGCAGATTTCTATTAGCTCTCCGAACCCCATTCGAATGAGAAGCTAACAGAGGGATTAGTAATCTGGGTCATTGTGATAAGACCCCGTAGATAGGGTGGTTGGTAGAGAGGGTGGGTGAAACAACAGACACAGTGTTGCGACCAGGATGGCCCTCAAAGTTAAGGTCCCTGCAGAGAGCCACTTTCAGCTCATCCAAGGGTGTCTTTCCTTGGCTTTCAAGAGAGCTTCAGCTCCGATCTTTTCTTATTTTAAGGCTGTAGAAGCCTGTCATGGGAGCTGCATCCTATGAGCTCACATAAGCCTAATTGACTCAGATGCCATCACACTGGAAGCCAGGGTTTCAATGCATGAATTCTGGGGTACAGGCGTTCGGTCCTCACCCAGTTCTGAGAGAGTACAGGATGATTCTGTGACCGCTCCAGGGGTCCCTGGTGTCCCTGCACCTTTGCTGTCTTGATTCACCATCTTCAATCTCTTGCTCAGATCCCCATCCGCAAGCATTTGGACAAAACCTTTTACTGGATCGGCTTGAGGAACAAGGACGGCTGGAGGTGGGAAGATGGCCCAGTTCTAAGCTTAAGGTATAGTCTTACAGGACCGAGGGCAGTGAGGAAAGAGGAAGAAGGGAGGAAAACCCTCGGGCTTGGGAAACAAGGAAAACAGGGCAGGCAATAAAGAGTGAAAATAGAGAGGAGAAGAGCCAAAGACAGACAGGAACAGTGGTGGTCAGAGCAAGGTCAAAATTGTGGTGACACTTTCAAGGGGAGTATAAAGCCTTTTGTTCTGCCATTTGGGGACCTGAGGAGTCTGAGAAGGAGACAGAGTCAACTTTTTCTCTCTCACCCTTTCAAGTCTTCTACTGTGCATGTTACTCGAAGTGACTGACGCCTTTGATTTTTTACAGGATTTTTTCTAACAGTTTGATACAGAGGTGCGGTACCATCCACAGAACTGGCCTTCAAGCCTCTAGTTGTGAAGTTCCTTTGCAGTGGATCTGTAAGAAGGCCGTACACTGATAGATGCCATGTCCTGAGCCTTGGGTCTGCCATACGTCTTTAAAAAGAGGGAACTGGTCCAGAAAATCCTTGTTCACAAATGGATGTTTAACAAATGCCAAACCTGCTATGATATGCCTTCAGACAGTGGATTAGTTTAGCCTCCTGGGGACTGGCATTTTCCTGCTGGGCTTTCTTGGAGACTGTTTAAGTAAGTGTTATGTTAGCCATTTAAAGCCTGGATCTGGGCAAATGAAATAGGTAAAGTCTGTTTTAATGCCTCTCGCTGTAGAAGCTCACACTGGCGCCTTCCTCCCCACCTCTGCCATCTCTGTCAAGGACATGCGGAAAGCTATTCCTCTGCAAAGAAGAACGCAGCCCTGCCATGTTCAGCGATGGTTACGTGCCGATCAACTAGACAGAAACACACAGCTCATGTCCTCGCTCCCGCTTGGAGGCTAAACAAGCTTGCCCATACTGTAGGGAAAAGTGCAGTAGTCACAGCATCCAGGAGGGTAATGGAATGGGAGAGGCTGGCTCGGGATTTGGCTGGGGTGCTCTGTAGCTCAGTGGGGTGATAATAATGACCAATAATTATTGCAAGGCTACCAATTTATTGTGGATTTAAAAATAGCTCGATGAAAGGACTATGGGTGCTTCCTGAGAGGATGGATGTACTTGACCACTCTGATGGGATCATTTACATTTGATGAAGGTATCAAAACATCATGCTGTACCCCATACACGGGCACAATTGTTATGTATCATTTAATTGAAATCAAGTAAGTCACAATTAAAATTAAAAACCACCATTCTGCTACATTTCTATTTTATATTCTGACCTAGTCTATAGAGACATGTGCATGTAGTATTTTGGTGAGGTCCTTTTCTGTGTACTGGCGTGAAACATACGGAATATGTGAGCTGATGCAGGTTCTGTCATTGTGCGTGGGTCTTGGTGCATGAAGTTTCATTCTCCAACACTGCTGGCTGCGAGAAGCCATGCCTGCAAGGCGTGGAAAGTGGATGAGGACAGTGTGCCGCTTTCTGCCTCCCAGCTCTCCACACTTGCTCAAAGACCAGCACTTAACCTGCCTTTTCACAGAAGCTGGCATGGGTGTGGTCAAAGGTGCCAATGTGTGGCAGTTTCTGTTCTGTGTGGTGAATGTGTGCTTTGCATGTTAACTCAGCGATAGTCATTCATCTCCTGGGTTTTTATAGAGGAAACTTGACAGAAGTAATTTATACGGTTGAGTCCTGTCCTGATGCCTCGTAAGCGAGATGACTTCGTTATTTCTTCTTGGGAGAGTTTGGACACAGGTGAGGAGATGCCTTTTGAGTCCACAGCAAAATGGAAGCAAGTCTTCGTCTTTTGACAATGCCAGGTTGCCGTGTTTGTTTTTCATAGTCCACTCTACCGCCACTCCATTTTGGCATCTAAGATAGTACTGACATTTAGCAAATATTTAATAAACAAACTGGTAAACGAAATAAGAGAAATTAGAAATATTTATTCTAGTTGTTTCTGTTAGGTCATGTGTTGGAGGGAGTGTATTCTGGCCTTTCTAGCCCACCCAAGTAAGTGGTAAGTAGCTGACACCCTGAAGGCACCAGGAAATTTAATTTGGGTTTTATGTTCATAGAAGGGAGTGGTGGAGACTCATGTGCCCACCCCCCTACCATCTCAGCTCTGCTCCTGGGGGAGGACGCTCATCATTTATGGGCGTGGTGGTATTTTCTCCCACTTTGTCGGGGCCCTGATGATGCGTGCACTTGAGTCATGGCTTGAGTACTAGAGGCTGCGCAGTCTCAGTTTTCTGTTCAAAGATACATGAAGGGGACACCAGGCAGGATGTGCATAGCTTTCTTTACCAAGAGTTCAATTGATGCATAAGGGTTTCTCACACTTATCAGTACTGAGTGTCATCTCTCACTTTCTTGTCCCCCGGAAGTGTGAGTATAGAAATTGCTCATTCCCAGCAGGTCGTTTCTCCGGTATCAAATTTCAGTGAACTTAATTTGTGTGTGCACACATGGCACAGTGTGTGTGTGAGTCAGGACAATTTGTTGAGCTGTTTGCTCCTTCCACCATGTGGCATCTGGGGATGGGACCAGGCTGGGTGGCTGGCATCTCTACTTGCTGGGCATTCTCTCCAGCTCGGAGTAAGACATTTACTTAAGGCACGACCAGAATATTAAGAAGACTAAGATAAACAAGAGAGGGAGAGACCTCTGGAACAGGCATCTGAGACAGTAGTTAAAATGGAAATACAACCATATATTCTTTAGACAGTAGCAAGAATTGAGCTTCTGTCTCCTTGCATTTTTATTATTTTCTTCTACTTTAATAAACCACTTTTGGAGCCTGAGTACAGAGATTAGCAGAAGGAAACACCTTAGTGTGTGTGTCAGCATCTTTGTGGGCCATGCACGCTTCTCGTGTCTGCTTCTGCTTCTCACTGATGCCCACTACCATTCACCTTTCCTCCGGGATGTTCTTTCTGTCCACTTCCATCTTTAGGAAGTGGACAGGTTTGACCTTTGTTTCACATGTTTTCAAAACACACCTCATGGTCTCACTGCTTCCTGTAGTGTCACGCCAATGAGACCTCCCACTCAAGCTGTGTGTAATTCATTCATCCTTTTGGCTGCTTCACAGCCTCCGTGTGCTGTAATGACATCTCTCTATTCCTCTGATTCCCCAGGATGAATCGTTCTACATAGCCTTATTCTTGAGTTTTCTCTACTTAGGGAATGGCCACGCCCTCTGTGCTGATGTTTAGACTTCAGACTGAAGTGCTGGAACTGGCAAAGAGTTAGAGAACTGGGAGAATAGGCAGACTCTCAAGGGGACAGCATAACACTTCCAAACACAGGGCAGTGGTGGGATGGCGTTTGTCTAGCACGCACCAGGCCCTGGTTTTTGTCCTCAGTATCATAGACAGAGAAGAACAAACACTGGCATTTCAACAAGCGATCCTCAACCTGCTTGTTGTTAATGAACTAAACACGGACCCTGGAGAAAGCACAGCTGGCCTAGACACTGGCCACAATCAAAACAATAAGCGGAAGAGAGAAAATATGATTAGCTATTCTTTCCTGAGCCAAAGCTAAGAGATGCTGAAAGACGGACACCCAGTACTAAATGCAGCTAGTTCACTCCCGTCTCCAACACCAATCCCAAGTTTTGAGCCACCCAGGGCAGACTGCAGAGTGACAATAACAGAGAGAGACTAGTCTTTCTTCTCCGCTGGCTGAGAAAACAGAGTGTGTGCGTTTCATGTCCAAGGTACAAGTCATACTGGGGGGAACACAATTTGGGCGGAACACAGTTTTCATTCATAAAATGTCTCAGTGGGGAGGCTTGAGGAATCCAGTTTCTCTTCCTAGCTTTGATAACAGTCAAAGTCTCCTTTTGCAGCTCTGGTTTTATTAAATCACCCTGAACCTTTCTTCTGGTTTTTGGTTTGTGGTGTGGGAAGGTGCTGCAGGAGAGGCATCTCTGACCTCAGGCCACCTCATCTGTGGGCTGAAGTGCCTCCAACTCAGTGATTCTCAACCTCTGGGTTGTGACCTGATTGGGGTCGCATATCAAATATCCTGCATATCAGATATTTGCATCACAGTTCATAACAGTAACAAATTGCAGTGATGAAGTAGCAACAAACTCTTTTATAACGGTTAGTTGTCACCACAGCATGAGGGACCGTATTAAAGGGTTGCAGTGTTAGGAAGGTTGAGAACCATTGCTCTCGTTCTTTGATAACAGAATTTTATTAGCAGATTTACCAGTTTGTTCTATTCTGTTTTCTTGTTCACTCCATTGGCCGATTTTCTCGTCTGTGCTAACAAAGGAGGTCGTCGTTACTGCTCCTGCCTGCAGGTTTAACTGTGGTTCCTCAACTGTAGTTTCCTTGTATTAATTACTGTGATGCTTTCCACGCACCCCACCCTTGAAAACCGTCTGAACACCAGGCCTGGTGCTGCAGGCCTGTAATCCCAGCTACTTGAGAGGCTGAGGCAGGAGGATTGAATCAAAATGAGCTCCAGGCCAGCTCACCTTAGACTTTGTCTCAACATAAAAAGTAAAAAGAATGTCGGGATTGTAGTTCAGGGGTCCAGCACTGCCAGGCGTGTGAGAAGACCCAGGTTCAATTCCTTGGACCGCTAAAAACGACATAAGCGAAAAAAACTAAAACCAAACCAGAGAAGAAACTCAAACCTGAAAACCACCCTGAGCCAAGGATGCTAAAAAGTGTGTTTCCTATTTTTCCTTCTAAAATTATAGCCTTAACTTGTGCTTGCTCAGGAATTTATTCCTTAACCTTGCAACTGAGCATGCTCAGAAATGAGTGTGTGTGTGTGTGTGTGTGTGTGTGTGTGTGTGTGTGTGTGTGTGTTTCCCTGAGTAAAATCCCTATCTTACCTTTATTTGAGGAGTCATTGTTTCGGGAAAAACACCCATGCTCTCCTTGCCTGCCGCGTGGGACACGACTGCCACGTGACACAATTGTCTCACTCTGCAAGTTTCTGCCCTGCCTGTCTGTCTTCCCATTCACCGAGAGGGAACCCCATTGCGGTCAGTAACGTTCCTCATGGCTTTTTATAGTTCCTTCCCCATCGCTTCTGCCTTCCACGTGACACGCCCCTCCCCTACTACATCTGAACATGCTTTGTTTGTCACTAGACTTTAGACTGCATCTCTTTTGGGGCTAGGGTCTCATTATGTGGATCGGACTTGCCTTGAATTCATGATCTTCCTCTCTCAGACTCCCGAATTCTTGGGCTACAAGCAGCGTCACCAGGCCTGGCTGGATGGCTTCATTTAAAGCTAGAGTGTATAGAATTTTAAAGAATTATACAATGCGCATTTTCTTCCTGATGAAGGAAGGTCATTGGCTAATAAAGGAACTGCCCTGGCCCATTTTATTGGTTAGAAGATAGGTGGGAGGAGTAGGCAGAGCAGAACGCTGGGAGGAAGAGGAAGTGAGCTCAGTCTCGACAGCTCTCCTCTAGGGAGCAGAGGCCTCAGAGAGACGCCATGCTCCTGGCTCCTGGGCAGACGCACGCTATGAAGCTCCGACCCAGGATGGACATAGGCTAGAATCTTCCCGGTAAGCGCACCTAGGGGCGCAACACAGATGATTAGAAATGGGCTAAAT